TCCCTACATGCAAGTATGTTGTAACCCCAAATCTTGTTTTTCAATCCATAAAGTATGGTTAAAGAATAACCAGAAAAAATGCTGGAAAAATTTGGAGAATTTTAAGTATAGTGACAGATATTCCACAGGAGTCAAGGAAACTCTGGCAGTTTATACCAACTGGGGGATCCTCTGTGAGATTTCACAAGGCATTGAGATGGTGTCATACGGTACTTACAGTTTGGGGATTTTGGCAGTATTTAATTTTTGGCAGATAGGCCTTGGTTTCTGAAAGAGTTCAGTTCATGGTTATGACTTAGTCTAAAGAAAGTTGTCTCCCATGCGTGTGAGCTTGTATTGTATTGTTTAACTGTGTACAAGACTTATGCTGCTGTTTAGGTGGCTTTTTAGATATCCTACTTCAGTTCAGGCTAAGGAAGACTGAGAGGATAAGAACTGAGACTGAATCTTGATTTGATATTCTGTGAGGAAACCATTTCAGACAGCTGAGTGGGATTTGATTTATTTTAATTGTCCTCTACAGAATATTGCACGTGGGATAGGGGCTGTCTTCCTAACTATAGACATGATTGCTTTATTCATGGATGCTGATAATGTTGCATTCATCACAAACGTTTCTAAATTACAGACTGATATGTGATCAGTGTGAGGGAAGAGGAGAAAACAGGCATGGCTATCAGTAGGCATTCTTCAGATTATTTTTTTTCTCTGCCTGTAAGCATCTCAGTCTTTATTTTAATTAAACCTCAGACAATATTTTCAGTTACATTAATCTCTGGTTCCATTTTAAGGATAGCTGCTGAATATACAGAGATGTGGTAGGCAGTGCAAAATTCTACCTTACAGGCTGATAACTGAGCCAAGTTGTCAAATCCATTCAACATAATAAGGTGAAAAATACTAGCAAGCTAATTCAGCATATACATGACATGAAGAGTGTGTGCTTTTCTATTGGTAATTATTAGTGTGTCCTTTCAGTAATGACACTGAACCGTTTTAGCCTTTGCTTTGGGATGTGTCCCTGCTTAATGGTTATGGTTATTCTCCTCTCCCAGATATGTACTTGCAAGACAGATTGAGGATATTAAATTTTGTTAGTAAATTTTGCTAGACTCTAAACTCATCCAAGTTCAGTGCTTACTCTTAACAGAGTGAAAACAAAGGTATGAAGAGAAGTGTTGTGAGGGCAGCCCCGAGATGTGAAGTTGTTCCTTAAAGGAACACAGCAGATGCCTTTTTTCATCTCCTTTGACAAATTCTTATGCCAAGTAAGATTTCTTCCGCACTTGCAGGGAATGGAAAAATATAAATTTCCCAGAGAATACTGGCAATTTTAGACTCTTAATTAAGTGAATGAAGGAAAGAAAAAATCTATTTATTGTTACACATACATGCAAGTGCTTTTCATTTTTAAAAGTAACCCTAAGAAATGGGTTGGACTTTCTCAGAGTTGGTCAAGTTATAAACATCAGTATATACCTGTATAGAGTGCACAATTATAGTACATACTTCAAAGAGGGGCATCATTCCTTTTTCTTTCCCCTCCATCTCCCCTGCCTTCTCTCCTCTTCCTGTTTTGAGACTGAAACGAGTTCTTAAACACACTGAGGTCTTGCCCTAGACTTAGCCTTTATGCACATTGTCTTTTCATAGAATCATAGAACAGTTTGGGTTGGAAGGGACCTTAATGATCATCTAGTTCCAACACCCTTGCCATGGGCAGAGACACCTGCCACTAGACCAGATTGCTCCAAGCCCCATCCAGCCTGGCCTTGAACACTTCCAGGGATGGGGCATCCACAGCTTCCCTGGGCAACCTGTTCCAGTGTCTCACCACCCTCACACTATAGAATTTCTTCCTCATATCTAACCTAAATCTCCCCTCTTTCACTTCAAAGCCATTCCCACCATGTCTTCTTGCTACAAGACTCTGTAAAAAGCCCCTCCCCAGCTTTCCTGTAGGCCCCCTTCAGGTACTGGAAGGCAGCTATAAGGTCTCCCTGGAGCCTTCTCTCCTCCAGGCTGAACAACCCCAACTTGCTCCGCCTGTCTTCATAGGAGAGGTCCTCCAGCCCTCTGATCATCTTTGTGGCCTCCTCTGGACTTGCTCCAGGAGCTCCATGTCCTTCCTGTTATGAGGGCTCCAGAGCTGTACGTAATATTCCAGGTGCAGTCTCACGAGAACAGAGTAGAGGGGTAGAATCACCTTCCTTGACCTGCTGGCCATGCTTCTTTTGATGAAGCTATGTGTGCACATAGCCAGTTTTAAAAACCTGACTCAGTCTTCCCTTTGTTACAGGCACTTTTATACATTGATTTGGCATAATTGTATTTACTTTCATTTTCTTCTTTTATGTTTATATGTTTTCTGTGTGTTCATTCAGAATCTTAGTTTCCTGTAGTTGTGAAGAATATACTTAATGTCTGCTTTTCTTACAGTTTTAAAAGAAGAATCAAGTAGTTAAACATAGTTTAAATTGTGAAGTTATGTTGCCATTGTTGGTTTTTATGATACTCTCTAAGAATTTGTCGACAGCACTTCTAAATCTGCATACATGACCTAAAATTATATATACTGTCACTAATTTAGATCAAAGTTATTATGGAATAAAGACTTCTCTGAATAAGACTAGCCAGTTCTTTGTCAAGGCTAAGGCTGGAGCTAAAAGCGGTTCTATAGTGTGTATCTTCCAACAAATGTAGTCTTGGGAATGTTTCATACAGTTTTCAAGAGGACATTTGTCACCGTTTGACTCAGGTTTGACAACAATGCTCTCGATCCCCTCCCCCTCCCACCCAGGTAAGGAAGGAGAGAGAGAAAAAGAGAGAGACTTGGCTGGATTGAAAACTAAACTACACAGCTTTAATTAAACACTAATGATATAAGAAAATATATACAGTTATATACAAATATGTTCAGAGTCCTCCCCGGACGCCGGCCATGGACGGAAGAGAAGGGAAGAAGAAGCAGGAAGGAAGTTGTCTTCTGTGATCTCTGACCTTCCTCTGAGCTTACGTAGATATATGGAATGGAATATCTCTGGCCAATTTTGCTGTCTGTCTAACTCAGCCTCCTACAGGGGGGTCACAGATCTCCCCATAGTGTCTGAGCCGGCAGAGTGAAGGTGCGACCTTGAAGACCCAGGAGTTAGAAAAACATTCCAGCTGTTATCAGTTTACTGAAAGGAATGCTTAAGCAATAAGCTTAAGAAAGCTTACTGAAGGGAAAAAAAAATCAGTAAAAGGAAAAGTGGCTTTATCCTGGCTCAAACCAGGACAACATTAATAGGTATTTGAATAATGGCAGTGAGAGGTATACATTTTATGTTACTGTGTTCACTATATTTTTTCTTTTAAGATTTTTTTTTTCGATACTTGTGATGTTTATCAATTTTTCCATATTTGCTCTGCCTTCATATGGATAACTCTTCATAGTTTCAACAGAATATATTAGAAAAATAATGGGTAATTTTTAGCAACGTTCCTCCCTTGCTCCTGGGAGAGCTCCCAGTTATTCAGATGCAGTCCACCACACTGGACATGCTACCAGACCCATGTAACTTTTCTTAGTACAGCTGCCTTAGATCAGCACCTCATCTTTATCTGTCAGAGTCATGGCTAATAGAACTCCTTTTAAGCTTTGAATGTCCATATGAAAAAGCAATGCTAATTGTACTAGAAAAACCTATGCTGTTGGACGTAGATAAATTTAATACCTCTATTTTGAAGAAAGATTTAAAAAGCAGAAATACAATTTATAGATAATAACATGGAATATTTTATCTTTTCTTCCACCCTTAGGATTTACATTTATACAACACCCAAGTTTAATGTTTGAACAGGAAGTGAAGACTCTGTATAACAGCATTCTTTCAGATAAGAACTGTTCAGTAAACTTAAAAATCCAGGTGTTAAAAAACCTCCAGACCTACTTGCAGGAGGAGGATACGCGTATGCAGCAGGCAGACAGAGACTGTAAGTGTTGAGTTGTTCTGTGCTAATGAGGCATGCAAAACCTAACTTTCTTGCATATAATTACTATATATGTAAATTGAGTCACTTAAGATTGTTATCTAACCAATAATATTGTACACAAAGTATCTTAGAATAATTTTCTAAAAAGCATGTGCATAGATATATTGAGAAGTGTAGCTTATTTACTTTCAAGATGCATAAATCTTGAAAGCAATCAGAAATGCAAAACTGCTGTAATGATGGTAGTAATACTTCTTATCAAAATCTTCTCTAAGGTTAATTTGCAGATACAAAATAAGAAATTTTAAAAATTAAAACCTTTATTGAGGACCAAAACTTTAAAGTCATGTCTCTTTAGTTTTTTGAAGTGTATTTGCAATCAGACTGTTCTATGTTTCATGAGATCATAAACCCATTCTAAGACAGCTGAAATGTGTATGTATTGTAATGCTTAAAGATCAGTATGCATCAAGTAATGGCAAAGTAAATTATTATACTGTGGTGAGTGTACTATTGCTTTTGTTCTTTTTTGTAGGGAAAAAAGTAGCAAAGCAGGAAGACTTGAAAGAAATGGGTGATATTTCCTCAGGGATGAGTAGTTCCATCATGCAGCTATATCTCAAACAGGTCCTTGAGGCTTTCTTTCATACCCAGTCCAGTGTACGCCATTTTGCTCTAAATGTCATTGCACTGACATTAAACCAGGGTCTCATCCATCCTGTTCAGGTATGGTAGGCTTTTATAATGGGTTTTTTTGTTATTCAGATTTTCAGATATTTTTATGCTTGCTAGATACTGTTCTAGTTTTTCTCTTCCAGTTATGTTACAGTAATTTCTTATTGTAGCAAGGGGCCTTTACAGAAACCATATTTTGAAATGCTATATGTTGTTTAGTCAGTGAGATTCCAAATGCTGTATTTTCTTGTACTTGGATCAAGATATAAAAGCCCAGACACTACCTAAAAAGCACTTACAAATGTACATTGGATCATATTAATTTTATAGTTATAAATTTCAGGTATATGCCAAGCTGTTTTCTTTATTTGATTCTTAATCCTGAAAACTGTGTCAGCTTGCCTTCACCTCAGTCCCTATCTCCTCCAAACACTATGGAATTCTAAAGTCAATGTCAGAACTTCAGTTATCATCTCCATTATTCTTTGCTTCCATAATACTTTTGTAATTATTTTTAATACCACAGTTATTGTGCTTGTTCAGTCAGAAGTGGTGTTTTCTTTTTTCTTAAATGACTTTTTTTTTTGGTAGTGTAAATTGACTTTAGAGTTTGAGAGAAATGAAAACCTGAAACCTCATACAACTTCTATCGTTTATAATGCTGCTCTTCCAATATTAAATATAGAGCTTCCTATTCTGATTTCTGCAGTAGTCAGAATATAAAAAGAGCAACAGTGTAATAGAAGAACAAAGAGTGAGAAAGAGGAGGTACAATAACTCTGAATAATAATTTAATTTGTTTTTCAAGTGTGTGCCATACTTAATTGCTATGGGCACAGATCCAGAGCCCTCTATGCGAAACAAAGCTGATCAACAATTGGTGGAAATAGACAAAAAATATGCTGGGTTCATTCACGTAAGTAATTCTAATTTATCATTTTACAAAATACTGTTATGTTCTCTGTTGACTTAACACTTGAACAGGCCTCAGCTGCAGAAAAAGAATATAAAATAACAAATAAACAATAACTATAAACAGTTGTAAAGAAGATCCCGACTCCAACCCCTGTTTGGAGATTTCTGTTCTTAGAAATAGAAAGGATATAATAATTTGAAGCATCTTTTCCATTACTGTTTTCCTCACTGAATAGTACATAAGAGCATTTATTTGATAAGAGGTAAGGACAGCTGTTTCATGTTTAGCAATGGTTTTCCTATATCAGTAGATTAGGGAATAGAACAACTTGTCAAAGTAGAGGTCCTTAGTGCATATGTATTAGAATGTTAAGGCATCAAGGCTTTATAAATTGTAATCTAAGCAGAAGGAGCATACAGTGTTAAGAACTGAGGGATTTTGCTGAAAGGAAAATTTGATAAGTGAGGATTTATGGAGTTGTGGCATAGTGCCATTAGTTCTGCTTAAGATCTGAAATTGAACTGCAGCACACTCTCCTTATTTCAGAAGGCCCCAGTCTTGGTTCAGTGTGTGTACTACATGTGAGACTTCCCTAATCTGATTCTATTTCACTGCAATTGGAGCACTGCACTGTTCATGGCAACCAAACAGATACCTAATCCAGTAGCTGAACGTTAGCAGATGAAATTTGCTATGTAGGCAGCTGGGATTTAAAACAATGTATATATGAAGAGACAACTATACTGAGCAGAAACATAGGTGGTATGAGAGAGTTGGATATTCAGCCTACCTAAAGATTGTTTGTTCTGAAACTAAAGCAGGAGCCTTGAAGAAAGTAAAAACAGCTGGAAATTACAGAATATATGCAAAAAACCTAATTTTTAGTTTGTCATTCTTATTATACTAATATGGACTCGGTTATTGGTTTCACTACAAATGACATCAAGCATCCACATTTGGTAAAATATTCTGTTCATGTATGAAAACATCAGTATTCTCGAAAATTGTTTAAACTGTAATACCTGGCTGCAGTGGGTAAACAGATTAGCTATATATTTCTAACAGAATTAGTTTAGCAGTTCACAAGATATTTTGATCTCTGCCTCAAATTCTGTTTTAATGTGTTTGCCAACTCAAAACGTCGTAGTACATCTCAGTGCGTTTGAAACTTCAGATGAGCATCCACTCAAAAGGAAACAAGCTAAAAAATGAGCTAGGAGTTTCTGTTGACAGGCATTTGTGTAATTTTCCACTTTCATTTTTACTGCTTGAAAGCAATGCTTTAAGTAAAAATAAATACTTTTCCATTTCAGATGAAAGCAGTGGCTGGTATGAAGATGTCTTACCAGGTACAACAAGCAATCAATACCTGCCCAAAGGATCCTGTAAGAGGCTTTAGACACGATGAATCATCCAATGCATTGTGTTCACACCTATACTCCATGATCCGAGGGAACCGTCAACACAGACGAGCATTTCTAATTTCTTTACTCAACCTCTTTGATGATACTGCAGTAAGCATCACAGTTCCTTCACTTAAAAAGAATATAAAATATAGCATTACAAGCTTAAATTCTCCATTTACAATGTATTTTTATGACATAATTATTGATAACTTTGTTTCCCTAAGGTAATTTGTTTTGCTTTGTAGTATAAGGTATTTACCTATATGATAGAATGCATTTGTTACTTTTGCATCATTCTGTACCTTTCTGTATTCAGTTTAGATTGATCTTCAGGTATGACTAAATTTTGCATACATGCATGTTTAGAGTGGGTTTGGGGGTATGTAGACTAAAATTTGTGATCATTTTTTTGCTCTAGACTGTTAGGAACACAAGATAAGTGTATAAATCTACGGTGTTTTAATGTATATTTATATGTACTTTTTTTTAACTTCCAGAAAACAGAGGTCAATATGCTCTTGTACATAGCAGACAATCTAGCCTGTTTTCCTTATCAAACACAGGAAGAGCCACTGTTTATAATGCATCATATAGACATTACACTATCAGTTTCTGGTAGCAACCTACTACAGTCATTTAAAGAGGTATGTGCATTTATATTTTAGTATATTTCTTATGGTGGCAACTTAAGCTTCTCTAAAATTTGGTCAGTTTTTCAGTTAATACAGTACCATTATTGTGATATGGACCAGTAGCATTAAAATACTTTCTATTCTGGCCTGCATTTGGTAGACACTAGTTTAAAACTTTCCTTACATTGTTGCTTATGTTATTTTTAAAAAATGGCATTTTTTTAGAACTTAATATTAAATCTATATTATTCCCTAATATTGCTGATTTAATTGAAATTCATATTAAATGCATGCATCTGGGAAGGACATGAGCCCAGAATTATAATTAAATATTAGTTTGTTGTGGTTTTTTCTATAATTTTAATAGTAAAAGCTAGTTTGCTGTTTCTTTTGTTGTCAAGTAGTTGATGGCAGTTGCATGTGTGTCACCTGGGAGAATTTAAATTCATTGTTTATTGTAAGACAAGACTGCACAATATGTCTTTTCTTAAGATGGCATATAAGAACCCCAGTAATGGTATAGTATCTTTTGTTATGGCACTACACAACCCTGTAAGAAAAAGGCCTGTTTCTTAAAAACTTCAGTGTCTTCATTTCCTGGACAGCTTTAATAGTAAAAGCTCTAAACTGTAAGGAAACAAACCCATTTCTAGAATTTCCAATCTGACTAGTAAGTACAAGTCAGAGTTGATACCTGGAAAGTACACTGCTCTGAATTCTCACCCTACCAAAGTCGATTTTTAATTTGCTAGAGGCAGTATATTCATTAGATGGGAAACCAATGTGTAGCACTAGCACATAAAGTATGAGATCTTGCTTAGGACACCTTAAATTCTATGTTATGAAAAATCATATTATGTGCAGTAATAATGCAAATGTGAAATTCTGTAGCTCCACAAGTAGTAGAACTTATTATTAGTAATTTTGTATATGATGACTTGGGGGTTTCTCTGGTCAGCAGTGTAATTAGTGTCATAGAATTTTAACAGAGACAAGGATTAAAACCAGCTTGGACTAGTCTGTACCAAAGTACATATGGAAATATGTGTAACATGCAAAAATTATATTCAGGTGAAACAAAAACGGATTTATTTCTTGATTGATTGATTGTTTGTATTTGGCTTTCTGCTGCATTTTACTGTTTCTGCTAACAAACTTGAACAGTCTTGTCACCGTTTGACTCAGGTCCGACAACAATGCTCTCGATCCCCTCCCCCTCCCACCCAGGTAGGGAAGGAGAGAGAGAAAAAGAGAGAGACTTGGCTGGATTGAAAACTAAACTACACAGCTTTAATTAAACACTAATGATATAAGAAAATATATACAGTTATATACAAATATGTTCAGGTATGAGCAAAAGCCTCTCGCCTCCCCCCACCCCCAGCAACTCCCCCAGCACTCCCCTGAGATGGGACAGTCCCGAGAAATTCCAGACTGCTGCTGGAGAAAGCAGAGAGTGATGAGGGTCAGGAGAGCT